CGAAACGCAGCCTTCACGTCGTTCCCCGGGCGTTCTTGCCGGCACGCTTTTTTCGACGCTCGGCCCGCAGAGGGGCCGGCGGCTGCGAGCGAGCAACGCGGAGCTGTCCGCGAGCCGGACAAGCCTGGGCTTTTTGCAAATTTGGAAGGGCACCTGGGATGGACCACGGGATACCACACGGGATACCACGGGGGCGGTTGCATGAAGGAACCCAAAAGAGAGTGGTTGATTTGCCGAGAACCAGCTCACCGGTTCGGAGTGAAACGTGCTCATGATGTGGTGTTTGGAGATATTCTTCGAGGAATGTCTGGAACTTGCCGACATATGGATGGGACAACCCCCCAGAACGAACTGTTTCTCCTGGGATCGTATTCAAATAAGCCACCAAGCCTCAAGAATGGCTTTTAGTTGGTAACTCTTGCGGAATCCTGCGACAGCAAAACTAGATTTGATTATTTGAGTTCGGCTTGGAAGCTGGAATTCTACTTATAAGGGGTATATACTCCGCCTGAGCAGCTTTTGTTATATCTAAGCCAGAACCCGCACCTTTAAAGGGCGTTGTCCTTTTGGTTTCCCTTTAAGCCACCCCTATCTTAGCTCTTAAAAAACACAACTTTTCAACTTTCTGGGAAACATGGGCTATATGTCTGTAAAAGATTAACTTCCCCAGGGCTTGGAGTTGTAAGGGGTAAGCTATCGATTCTAGGCAGTGAGACTTCGCTTTCCAGGTGCCAAGCAGTAAGATCGCCGGACAGGTATTGACATGTACAGACCGAGTTGGGATCAAGGCCGATCACCAACACCGGCGGAGAGTTTTTCGTTCGTTGGAAGAAGGGAGGGTAAGATGAGGGGCTAGATGACTTTGAGGCAAACCAAGTTTGAGGGAATACCGCGGGTTCGCATATTTTGAGGCAACCCTGCTGTGCCGGATGTGTCCTCTTCGTTCACCCTTCCAAAAACACGGACATGGGACTCGCTAAGTTTCTTCGCGGGAACTCCCCAAATGTCCCTGCCCTTTTGAGTACATCAGTTTCCTAGGATTAGGCGTCAATTAGTTAATGTTGACCCCATATTAATCAACCAGCCAGTTTAGTAATAGGATAGGGGGTGGCTTTTGGCTCTCCAAAAGGCGTCTGATTCCAACCACTAAACCCAGAAATGGACACCCCTAAATTTCAATCACTGGGGTTGATGAACATGGGGTCCACATTATATAGTAAGATGGATGAAGGTCCATCACTTAGGGATTCCTTCATGCTCCAAACATTTCGATCACAACGCCCGGAGAGGCAGCCAACATGACTGAAGAGGCTGTGGACTCAATCCCTGGTGGGAGTTTTGGCTGGAGCTTACAGACCACTTATTCAAGGGGAATTTACCTTGAAAGCGCATATGGATTGGCAGTTGCACTCTTCTTCCAGCGTTGTATTCGATAGGCCTTCCGCCTTTGGACCGGCCATCGATGAAAGCCATCCGAACTTCCGGATGAGAGCTGGGTGGGCAAAACCCCTTTTTTTGCGCTCGATTTATCCAAAGGAAGCCACCAAAGAAAGACCGTTGCTTTGCTTGGGTTCCCCGAAAGAAAACCACTATGAACGCAAGTTGATTAACGTATTTCCGGCTGAAACCACAAGAAGATGCACATTGTCATTTGTGCATTTACCACCCGGAGAGGCAGTGCACCAGGTCAGTCGGTTCATAGCCGTTTTGATTTGCCGGCTCGAGTTGCTTCTAGTCCCGGCTCCTTTCATACAGGGCTTGCGGACGCTGTCCATAGCATCCTGAAAAACGTGGCTTCGATTGGCCAAACTCGCCTCCATGTCGTGTTTTAGTTCCCAGAAAGACCAAAAGGGTAGATGGCCTAGCTTTCCAGACCCTCGATTCAGCACCTTTCACGGGGGAGCAATTGAACTTGACAGTTTTCCCCCCAAAAAAATGAGGGAGACTGAAGACTCCAGAGAAGCAACAAGACCGGGAGGAAGCGCGAGCCAGCACAAGGGCTGGGCGAGCCTTTGAGATCGGTGGCCTGCGCATTGGAGAATTCTGGGCAGGCATCTCAGTTGTGTATTTGGCAAGTTCCGACTCGAGCTTACCTTTAGTTTCTCATAGAAATGGACATGTGAACCTTTTATTTCCGGGCCAGCTTCATAAAAATGCCCTACCAGCCCCCCCAAACATACCTCCAGTCTTTGCTTATGGGGTCACCAAAGGAAGGGTGTGATTGTGGCAATCACATTGGCCAACTTGTCCTGGGCAATGCGCAGGCCGAGCGTGCGTGCAGGCGTTTTGGCCACTTTCCTGGATCCAACTCGGTGCTCGTGTTTTCCAACTTGCCCTTAGCACGAACGAAGAATTAATAAGTCAGGTAACCCCTAGTGGGTTAGATGGATGGTTCGCCACCGGGCTGTTTACCCTGGAGAGGGAAGCTGATCGACGTCACTTTCCCGGGACTTGAAACCTACTGGTCCATTGTTAAAGTTGAAGAGACCTTTTGTTCCCGTTTTGGTCCGTTTAGAGGTCCCAAAAGGCGCACCTTTTATTCCAACCTCTGGGCAAGTGGAATTGTTCAGTTCCAAAATTCCCCAGAACTTGTGCTGAATCGGATGCGATGGATTTGGGCAAATAATTTCACGAGCGCAATCAGGGAGAAAGCGACAAATGAAGATTGAAGGTCCTTTGGGGATCCCCGAAAAGTCTGATTTGGGAATAGCAGTAGCTAGCTGGTGGTTAGAGAGCAAAGAAGGAGCTTGGGGTAGAAGCTAAGGAGCTACCGGGAGGCATGCTTATGAAGGCACGGTTTTACCTGCCCCCGTTTAGGGGCATTGAATGCTAACCCCAAATTAAGCCTGGTGAATCATTTGAGGGGGGATCCGGATCCCCTCTACACTGGGGGGGGGGTTGCGTGATTGAAGTCAGGGATTCTTTTTCATCCTTTCAAAAGGTAGGGCATAGCCCCTCCCCTACCATACAGTTCTTACTCCCTCAGTTCCTCAACTTGGAACCAGATTGAAAGGAGCATCTCAGGCAAACCCGCCAATTATCAATTTGGGGGTTCCCTACAAAAAGACACACCCAATACGGCAAAGAAACACTTTGCACTTGCTTTGGCCGATTCACTCAGAAGTGAGTAATGCTTGCACTCACCAAGAGATAGAGGAACGAACAGCCATGAGAACCTGGTCATTTGGAGGACACCGGGCTCCGAGCTCACAATCCAGGCTTCAAGTTGAGGGTTGCTCGCCAGGGTCGCTTGGTATTCAGGATTCGACGGGCCGGTACCCAAGGAACCCCAGTTCGATTCATTTCCGGACTCGGAGCATCCGAATGTGAGCAACCCTCTCGGCAGTCGAACCATCCGGCTGCTTCCAGTGTCCGCTCCAGGAGCTCTCTTGCATCATTCCAGGATTAGAAGCCAAGACTTAGGGCGTTTTGTGGTATGCCATGTTTTCCTTCTGTGTTCAATATCAACTTGGCAATCCGGAAGCCCATGCGAATGAGCGATGCCCCCAATGATTCCGAGGTTTCTATTTTAAGCATCACTTCTTGGGGCCAATTGGGTTGAAGCTATGGCTGAAACCAGCGGTGAGCGCTTGAGCTGAGGGAAGGTATATCAGCTTAGTGCTTCCCATCGGTACAGTGACTCGGTGATTGGTTGGAAAGCAGCTTTACAGCATGAACAACTCGGCCGTAACGCAGAAGCAGCATATGGGCTCGGTCGCGGATCCCCTGCAACTCATTTGGTCAGGGCTCTCCGGTTCCCTTCTTGCTTGGTGGCTCAGCCCCAAAAGGACTTTGTTTCTTATTTTTTTTTTGCGGGATCACCGGGCAACAGGGGCAAGGGAATCGCCCATGCACGCTGTTTTTTGCGGGTTCAAGGCCAACACAGTATGGAGGGATTGGACCGCTCCCACATTTTTCCCAATTGGGGATGGGAGGCGGTCGCACCATCGAGATGCATCTGGCCTCTTGTGGAAGATCGATTCTGGAGTGCAATTTGTTCTAACTGCTGCGGCCTGTCTACAAAAAGGCGCACATGCGGTTCGCGCCGTTCTTTTGGATACCCTACCTGTTCAAGGGAAGCCAACTGGAGGTCTCAAATTCAGTGGACCCGAACGGGTGGTTTCCTTTTAGTTTTTCTTTAAGCACCCACTTGAAAAGGGGTACCCTCAACTGGCGGTTGTTTTGGTTTAACACGTGGCTTGAAGCAGGAATATCCGTCGGAAGCTTTTTCAATCAGTGTGGTCTTAGTCTGGGAAGCACGGCGGGGGTTGGGGGGGGGAGGTTCGGGGAAGGGTGGAATCTTAGGGGGTCCATTGGCCCGTTCAATGGCTTCGAAATGGGAGGGAAGTCCTTCGGAGACGTACTGCCCAGCCGCCCTACTGCATTCCCGATTGACAATGCTCTTGCAGGAATCGCTTCAAAAAAGCACCTCCCAACATGGTTTGCTGTACAGGAAGCCTCCCCTTTCAAACACTAAGTATTCTTCCAAGAGGGTGTGTGTGAATTTGAGAGAGTGTTCTGGCTGAACTTCCTCCCAAATTCGCGGAAATCACCAAAGGGGTCCTTGAATATGCCGGGTCCCGTTTCCGTTTCACACGGCTTTCAGAGATCCCTTCTCTGAGTTCATCTGCAGCGCAGCGGAGTCATTGGCACCTGGGAACAGCTGTTTGATACCGACACTTGACTAAAGTTTCCAGTAGGCAAATCCTTTGGCCGGTTTTTTGCACCTGTGCCATGGTCAGCATTTGCAAATCCCTTAGTGCACATGGGCGAATTAGAGAGCCCCCGGATGGAGCATTGGCTACTGGAAGTTTTGACCAATCCTTGCATGGGGCGTTGTTGTTTTTTTCCTGAGGGCACCCTTCGGAAGGTTGGTTTGAAAGGGAATTCAACAGGAGAACCCACCATTCGCGCAGTTCCCCCTTTTGACACAGACACTGGCCGAACCCCTGCCCCCCCCCCCCCGGCCTCTAGAACTCCATAGGCGATGTTGATTTGAGGTCTTAGCGGTGACCACGCCCCACAAGCGCAACCGCGCAGCCGCCAAGATCCAGGTCGGGCCTAAAAGGTTGCGGCGCAACCCGCTGCCGTGTGTCTTTTGTTTAGGTCCCCCAAACGCAGACCCACGTATGACCCCCAGTGTGAACCTCTGATCCATGCGGGCGCTTTAGCGCTTTGTCAGTGGAGCACCTCAAGCACAACTCCCCCCCCCGCTCCCTCAATGGCCAACTGTCAAGGCCTGATCTGAGAGCCCAAAACCCTATCGGCAATTGAATTTGGTCCTACTACCTGGTACTACCTGGCCTCATGGGGGGGCTGACCGTTAAAGCCATGTCGGTGGAACCACAAGCTGCTCATCTGGCCTTGTTTCTCTGCTAATCCCGGATTGGGCTAATCCCTGCACTTGGGCGAAAGTAGCTGGTCCCAGTACCCAATTTGGGTTGAGTCCTTCCCTTTACTTGCGCGCATCCGATTGTTCCATCTAGGGCCTGGGTCCCTGATGTCTTCGGCCCAACGGAGAACTTGAGGGGTCTTGACCTGTGCGCATCTGCGCTGCGGCTCCAAATGTGGGAATGGCGTTCACCGTGGGCACATTCTTCAAATCGACATCCAAAGGAATGACACCAGGGTGACAGCCGGTTGGCAACTGACTGACTTGGGAGTTCAATTTATGCACCTGCAACAGCGATCATAGTTTCCTTTGTGCGCAGATCTTCATTAGATATCCGGGTGCTGCTCCGAATTCGGCCTAATCACAGCATTTGGCTGGCCACGGGCTAACGCGCCCAAGTGGAGTTGCTTCCTACAAGCTCAACATGAAACCCAAAGGGGTCCCCCAAAAGGAGTTCCTCTGCGAATGGTTTGGGTTCCATACCAGTTTTAAATGAGGTCAATCTAGGCTTGCACCTCGCATTGTTCGAAGCATTGCAACTCGTTTTTGCAACACCCAACGTTCGGCGCTTGCCTTTCCATTCGGTTTCAGGAGCTTTGGCATCATTTTAGATTTTGAGGTTCACTAATAGGGAGGTTGCGAAAGAAGGGCTGACATCCAGGCTGCAGTTGGGCGGGTTTAGATTGACTTTGCTCGGAGAAAATTTGTGTTGGGTGTGCTGCTGGTAGCGGTGCCTTTAGAGTTGCTTTAGCGATGTGGATATGTTTAGGATTGGATTTGCAGCGTTGCCCCAAACCACCAAAACTTGCCCACAACTCACACAACCACATTCCCAAAGCAACCTAAAAGACGCCACTAAACCAGCAGCACACCCAAGACAAATCAGCTCCAAGCCAACCCGAAATCCACCCCCTGGGCCAGGCGAGGCTTGTAATGCTGGGGATGTTGCCAGCCCTGCGAAAAGCCAGCCCCATAAGTGGAAAGAACAAGCCCTAGGCAAAAAATCACAACACCTCTACACCAATATGGACCAGCTGGAGCTAGCTGTAGGTGGACAGAGGACCCCACCCAAAACTGGTCCTCAAAAACGGAACGCTTGCGTCTATCGTTTCGCGGCAAACGCTCAGCATGGTTCTGGGAATTCGGGCTCCAGGCCTTGCTGTGATACCCAGGTAACCTCTCCTCATGTCAAAAATGTCTCGCAGTATCGCTGGGCTATTTGGCCATGATTTTTAGTAGGGAGCTCAAAATTGGTTGGTGGACAAATCCCTACCAATCATGTCCACCGAACGGTCCTCCATTCTCTCATTTGCCCAACGCCGGCCTTGTGATGTTGGTACATGTTAAGATGAGGTCCCAAAAGCTTAACATCTTATTTTTAGGTCCTGTGCCGACCACAACAACAAAGCCGGGTTCGAACTTCGGCAGGCTCACATCCGGGGCTTCTTGGCCCGGCGCCGGTATCGGCCCAGGGCCTAGCGGCCTGCGTGTTGCGGACATTGCTTAAGATGATGTTGTTTTCCTCCTTGTTGCTATCACTGTATCACTGTAAAGACGTTTGCTTTGGCTTCCAGGGGACTTAGGCAAATGGAGTCCGTTGCTCCAAACCCGTTCAAGATGGCCAACGCGATTAGCAACAGGGTCACATCTGAGACATCAATGTCCTTCAACAATAAACATGGAAGAACATGGAATACGAGTTCATGGAATAACATGGAGTAACACAACATGTCCTATAACATGGGTTAACATCTTTGACTTCTAGGTTTAGGGTTAAATATTGAGTCCAAGTAGCTTTGCATGACACCAGTGCCATGGGCTCTCTTGATTGAATGGATCTCCTAATTTAAATGACCTCCCTTTTGGTGGGCTGATGCTTAAAAGGTAAATATAGGGAGCCCTGATTACTTAAATATGTCGGATTTGGTACAGTAAGCTATCAATCTTGACCATCACCTACTGCTGTATACTGGGGGGTGACACGGGATACACAGTTTTGCCCACTAAACAAGGATTGCTCGCCAAAAGCATGTTGAATAGCTGTTGGTCAGTCTTTGCCATACGGATGGCTTTTTGTCAAACAAAGATGGCCCAGGTTCTTGTCGTTCCTCGCAGGTGCTTTGGCTTTTAGTGGTTATGTTTATGCCTTCCGGGTTGCGTATTGGGATTTGGTCTATGTCTCTCTGGACTTCCGGGAATCCGTCCCGGTTGCTGGCAAACCTTCGATGGCAAATTCTGGTTGGCCTGCCGCCATCCATTTTCAACCAGAAGCACACTGGCTGAACGTTTTTTTGGTTTTGTGTGTGTGTGTGTGTATTTTTGTTTGGTTGTGTTTTTTGGGTGTTTTTGTGGGGTGTTTTTCTTTTTCTGTTTTTTCCGGGTGTGTTTTTTGTTGTTGTTGTTTTTTTGGTTGTTTTGTTGGGTGTTGTTGTTTTTTTTTTTTTGGGGGGGGGGGGGTTGCAAGTGATGATGCTTACCATGAAGGGCGCAACCAAGGGAAGACCGTTGAACCAACATGTCCCGAGAGAAGGAAGCTCGGGGCCAAGTGCTATGCACGGCTTTTCGGGGAGCCCCTGACACAGCCTTTGAATCGGGGTAGAGTAAAAGCGATTCATTTTGCCTCTTCTGTCCATATCCGGAAGCTGCAGCTGTCTCAGGTCGGATTGGTTGTGTTGACATTCAGTTCCGCAAAACAAGGCAGAACAAATAGGAAACGGACAACGGGACCACCTGGCTGGGTTCTATGTCATGTTAATTTGCCGGGAGGGACTTGTGGCAAGCAGTGATAAGAGTCTTCCAAGACCCCCATTAGACTTCCATTGTTGGAAGGGGAATGATGAGTAATGTGAACTTCGGATACCCTACTAGCCACAGCGCCTGCAAACATAATTTAGGTTCAGATCCTTGCAATTTGGGAACCACTCCCGATGAGTGCCGTCTTCCGGATTGATCCAAAGCTATCATGCCCTCCAAGCATGTGAAGGCATTGTTCTTAACATGCTGTTGATACTTTGCGACATTGCAGTTGAGACATTGCTTAGGCCCATGCGCGATCACCGGCGCTTCCTGGTTCAGAACATCACCAGGTCGGAGCTAGTGTCGAAGCCTTCACCGTGATGGTTTGACTGAGCATCCCTAAGCACATTGGCGGTTTAAGCTTAGCTTGTTCCCTCTGGGCGCTCTTGCGCACAGCGTTCCCACATTGCAACGGGGGTGTCGAATGTTAGGGGACCCCCCAAAATGGTTGTCCTTTTGGTTTTCCTTGAACACCACCAAAAATCAAAACAGGGGTACCCTAAAAAGAAGACACACCCGACACAACGTATAACCTGCAGCTTCAAACGACTAGAAACAAGTAGGTGTTTTGGTCATTGTATTGCTTTTGCCTGTTTGGTATCTCATTCAGCTTGATGCTGCCCACTAAACCTGATGTTCGAATCTGCTGAAACTGTTAGACTCGACAGCCCTTCAAATCCTTCCCTCCATCAACACCATTCAATCCTAGCTGTGCGGGGGAGTGGTGCGCGAATCGGAGCAAGTTTAGTCAAAACATGCTTCGGGTGAGAAATGCTTTTTGTTTGACCACTGTTGGCCGCAAAACGAGCGCAAAAACCCGCAAAACGCCCGCAAAAGCGCGCAAACGAGCGCAAAACCAAAAAAGTGGGACAATTGGGGTTGTTTGCATGCACTGCCCGCTCAAGAGCATGCCCTGATTGGGCACCGATGTAGGGTCATGCTTGCAACGGGAAATGCAAGCACCGAGAAAGGAAACTATATTGATATGATGTCAGATCTTGTTGGCTCAAGTATCCTCCCAAACGGCCAGCAGCACCTTAGACGCCGGCCTTCGTACTAGTGTTCCAGCGGTTCGTACTGAAACGCCCAGTGTTCCTCCAATCGTACCCATTACCCAAAACGCCCAGAAATTTCTGGGTGTTTGAATCTCAGGAATCTGGTTTCCCAAGCTTGCCTCCAACCGCCGCTTAGATGGTATGGCTCAGCCAGCTACCACCCAGGGTGTCACTCGGTTCATTTGGGGTTGAAGTGGGGGTCACTATCTGTTAGTGTTTGGATTCAGCCGGGTTCTGTGTTCCTTTGTTGGTCAATTTCAAATTCAATCCTCAACGTGATGGGAAGTTGTGGGTTTTTTGGGTGCAACCGAATGTTCAATCCCTAACCTATATAGGGAAGGCAACCATTTTTGGTTTAAAAGTAGTGGCCCACAAACCAAGTGGTCGGACAATACCCTCCTTGGATGCAGTGCCCAGTGGTCAGAGCTGGCCTTTTAGCCTCCTAGGGGCTTCCCCCTTTTGGTATGTGCTACCGTCCGTTTAGAGGGTCCCTGCCCACCTCAAACATGGAATTCTTCCTTGTCCGAAGGCGACCCTGCAACCTTGTAGGAGTGAATAGTCATTCGCCCAGCGGTTCATTCCCTGCAATAAACCCGCAGGCTAAGCCCTGCAACCAGGAGCAAAGCAAGAGCAATCTAGTTGCTCTCTAGAATCAACTTGGTGGAAGCCAAAACAAAGTACAACCATGTGGGTCACGGACAGGATTGTTCGTTTGCAATTGGTTTGGAATGAGGCTGCGCACATGTTCCATAAATTGCAGTTGCACCTGATGTTTCTTTTGACATGCTCTTCAGGAGTCAAGTAACTTCCGGGGCTGTTAAAAACCATGGGGCTCATTTTGAAGCGTGGGCAGGCCGGGTCCCTTTGGTGCTTGGAATGTGCACCCCCGGCCGGCCGAGCCTAGATGAAGTTAGCAAGGTTTGCTAAGTCCATGAGTCCATGGACGTCCGACCTCTGTGGTTCCTCGTTCTCCATGACAAGGTCCAATCATCGCACCGCCTTGACTAAGGTGCTGTTGGTTTGCACACCCGTTTGGCCAGTGGCCACCTTCATCTCAAGACAACTTCCGTCCACGTGGGAGCGTGGCTGGGACACATTGAAGGTAGGCAAACCCGCTGTATCAAAGCCGTAATTTGTTCAAGTGGTAGGTTTACTCGGTAAACCAAGCTCAGGCCCAAACAGAAAGAACCCTTTCGTTGTGGTCTGAGTTTTCCCACTGGTGAATATGGAACTAGCAAAAGGGAAAGTGAGCCTAATTACCTTCTGAGGGTAGGCCACATGTGGCGAACTTCCCATACTGTGGATGGACGAAATCCATTTCGCACCACTTTGAAACCGATGGAAACCCAAAATTTGTTTGCTGGTATTTGCGGTTGGGAATCAATTCATAGGGTTTCTGAACGGCGGTGCCTAAGAGGATATCGCAGCCGTCCACAGTGGATGGACCAAACCCTACACCACCTAAGAAACCCTGGTTTCTGATGATCCCCCTGTAAATACCGACGCACAATGCCTTCAACCATGGCTTCAAGTGCCTAAGAAATGTGGCAGCCATCAATAGGTTTCCTCCAGCGAGTCACGTTTCGTCGCCAGGATCCAGCGTGCCGTCCGGAGGTTTCTGGTGGCTGTGCACGGCTCTAGGGAGCGGCTGCGTGTTGAATGTCACTGGGGAGAGAAGCGTGGTATGTCTCAAAACAGGGGGGGTCATCATGGACTTGAACCACTTTTTGGGTTTGGACCCCATTTTGGTGGCAAACCAACAGTTCGGACTTTTCTGCCCATCAACACGGGAAGTGAGCCTAAAAAGTGTGGGGTTTTTTGGGTTTCCCTTTTGATACCAACCAAGGGGGGGGTCAAGCATTTTGAGAAACTCGCACGGAATGTGGATCCCAAAATTTGGGATTTCCCTCTGGGTTTCCCTTTCAACTGACCTAGCCCATGTCGGAGTCACGAACCTGGCAGAAACAAAACACATCGGGGGGTGCAGCTGCCCAACTTTCGAGCAGCTCCCATGAACTTTCCGAATAGGACATGTCTGCACGAACCCTGAACAATTGGAGCCGGCGCGGCGAGAGGGAGAGAGACAGAGAGAAAGAGAGAGAGAGAGAGAGAGAGAACGAAGAATGTGCTGCAAGCCAGCTGCAAGCTTGTCATGTGTCAGTCTTTTGGGCTTGAGTTGTGGAGTCTGTCATTCGCTAGCCATGGGTGCCACGGACATGACCTTGGTGAAGGCGCCCAAGGAGGCCTACGAAGCCTTGGCAGAGAAGGGCCGCGACTCGTCGGCGAGCGGCGGTCGCGAGGTTTTCGGTGGGTCCGAAGGCTGTCGCGTCGTGGGAATTGTTTTTTAGAGAAAAGAACGCGGAAACCAGGTTCTGCAACTAGATGTGGTTGCTTCCTGAGTTCCTGGACTTGAATAGCGGTAAACACAAAGTTCAGACCTTTTCCGGCCAGTCCACTCAAGTGAGTGATTCTGCGATTGCTCCGGCATGAATTTGCCAGAGGTGGCAAGAAAATCATGGTGGTCCAAGGGAAAAACCCTGCTTCGAGGGAGAAACTTAACCTGCAAGGGTCAAATTCCAAGCCTCAGGTCGGCGTTCTCGTTTTGAACCCATCCCTTTCAAGCAGCGGGTCTAAGCTTTTTATCCGAACCTCGTGGTGGCTTGGGGATGTGAAATGCTCGGGACTCGTTGGCAGCCCTCGCGCATGGCATGTGAGGCATGGTCGTGGACGTAGGAAGTTAGGACATTTCTGTGGGGAATTCAATTAATCCTCTTTCAAGTCACGCACTCGTAAGGATGGGAATCCTGCATTGGCTTCACAGAAAGAGAAAGGGGCCCACTTCCCAGAACCATTCGACTTTGCTGGTGGGATAGGTATCTGGGAATGAACCCAGGGGTTCCCTTAATGCCAGTTGGATTGTTTACGAGGGCCATTCCATTCTCGCACCGATCGCAAGTTGAGGTCTGATGGTGCAAGAGCCGTCGCTGAAGTTCTTCGGCCAGTGCTTCATCTCCGGGTGTTACATTGGCTTTGGGGCGCAGCTGGCGGTGGTGATCTCTGCATCCATGCCCGGCATCACCGAGGAGGGCGTGATTTTGTTAGGATGTGGACCCCTCAAAGCGGGTTGTCATCTTACCTTAAACCTCCCTTCCCCTTCCCCCCCCCAAAAAAAAAACAAACAAGCACGGGCACCCTCAAAAAAAGACAGATCCAGGAGAATCCCGGGTTGAAGAAGCTGATCTTCGCCTATTTGTTCCCGGTGAACTTGGTTCTCATCACGCTCACGGGGGGCATCCTCTTCACTGGAGCTGCGGCCGCCTGTCCGGCTGCTTTCTTGGAGAAGAAGGCCTCCCTGCTTGGCGTTTTGCGTTGCTTGGCCTTGTCCTGGGTGGGCAATCTGCTAGGATCATTCTTCTTTGCCAGCTTCATCCTTTGGTGCGAGTTGCTGGACGAGAACACCCAACAAAGCTTCCTTGCAATCGCTGAGGGGAAGACCAGTAAAAGGTTTGATGTCACCTTTGCGAAGGGTATCGGCTGCAACTGGATGGTCAGCATGGCAGTGCTGCTGGCTGGGCAAGCTCAAGATATGTTTGGGAAGGTTGTGGCGATTTACCTTCCCATTTCCACCTTTGTCATGCTGGGATTTGAGCACACTCCAGCAAACTTCTACCTTCTTGGGATGACGGTCGAGGTGGGGGACATGTCTTTCTGGGACATCCTGCTCAAAAACTTGCTCCCCACCAGCCTGGGTAACCTCTTCGCTGGCGCCGTGGTTGTGGCTGGGGGCTACTCCTACTTCTTTGGCAACTTGGGGAGTTGTGGAAGTCAGCGATGCATCGAAGCCTTTGAGGCCAGCGATCCAGAAGCCCAGGATGACAACCCCAAGCGCGACATCTCTCGAATGAGTCGGCTGACTGCTTCCACCTATGCCCCCAGCAGCATCTCCCGCGTTTCCTTCGATTCCCTTGAGCCTGAGCGGGCCGCACCCTCCGCACCCAAATTTCTGCGTGAGGTCCCATGCGGTTTTGGCCAAGCGGACTGACTCCCCTGACTCCATTTTGGCCTGAATTTATTGCCTGCGCATAGTGCTTGCAAAACACCACTGCATTTCGGAAAGCCGTTCGGAAAAGTGGGATTTATGAGTGTGACAGGTTTTCTCGGGTTTTGCAAGCTTTCTCCAAGGCAAGTTGAACTACCCAATTTCAGCTGGCACCTGACCAGCTCCTGCTGCCCCTGACTCCAAATACCCACCTTTTTTTAGGGTATCATGTCGACCCTCTACAAAAAGGCACTTACCTTGAAAAAACTGGTTTTCCGAAGAATATCCTAGAAAAAGTGGGTATTTGGAGTAGGGGCTACGTGCAGATTTTGCCTTATTGAGCGCCTCACTTTTCTGACACAAAGCCTTGGGAAGGCGAGGGACTGCTTTCGCGTGCCAAGGCATGCCAGTGTCGCAAAGCGCGACACAGACACATCCAGACATGGGCTGCGGTTCTGGCGAAAAGGAAACGGCGAGGATCGGTTGTTCTGGGTGTTGGATCCATTTCTGGCAAGACTGGCTTTCCCAGCGTGCCTAGCAGTTGCAGCAACACTGCTTGGGGTTGCTTCTGGCAGCCTTCCACCTTCTTGACCCCCAACACTCAGACCGACCCAATCTGCAAACTAGCAGCTTATTCCGCTCGTCTCGGCTTGCTGTTTTTTGCCCCTCGCTCCCTGTGCAACATGGTCCTCCCAAACGCAGACGTTGTGCGTCATGATTGCCCCGAAACGAGCCCTACGCCCATGGCCCATGATCCCTTCAAAGAAGTCTCATTAATTAGCGTGCTCCTTTTCACGTGGAAAAGAGCAGTCTGCTTCACCTCCTCCGGTCATCTTGAACGAATTCTTAGGATTGCCGTATAGGGCAAGTGTGACTTCAACCTAGGTCACACGACCTACGGTCCACCCCCCACGTTAGGTGCATACACCCTGCCAAACTGGTAAATATGGTTAGCATGGTTAGCCATGCCCTCCCCATTCACAGGTGCTTCTCTTATAGTCGAACTGGGACGGGTGGTTTCTGCGAATAGGGAATGGTTCAGGTGCTTGGCTCAGGTCTATGGATCGGCTCGCTATCTCGCTTTACTTCCTGCTCGGTGGGACATCGCTAGTTTGGCTAAATGAGCTTCTAGGATCGCCTGGGTCTCTAGGAGGGGTGATTTTGACGGAAATGCACAGCAGGGAGCCCTGCAGAGGGCCAACAGGGCGTTTCAGCATGTAGATCAATTCCGGACCATCCAGGATATGCCAGGCGATCCTTCAGGACACTCACTGCAGAAAGGGTTTTGGGGCATGTTCTCCACCGGCGGTTTGCGCCATGGTCAGATCAAAGCTGTTGGTCGGAAGGTACAAGGATTAGAATGCGTCTGCCGGCCTCTCGAGCTCACCACGGTGCGGGCACTTTACTTGGGGGATCCTTGTTTCCAGGTTTGGCACTTCTTGCAAAAAATACGGAGGAATATATGGCTGCGAGTCAATTTATAAGGTCCGGAACAGGGTCCGGAACCCACATGCGATCCAGACCTCCGTTCCAGACCTTGCCTAGAAACATGATCCAGACCTTCCGTTCCAGACCTTGTTTATATATTTATGTCTAGTTTAGAGCGTTGATTCAGACGGTCAGGTGATTTGGTAGGTTATTGACTACCCCCTTGTTTGCCAAGTACTACGCGTTAAAGCTGGTGTTCGAGAGAAGCTTGAGGTGCTAACGATGGGTTTTGCTAGTCGAGCTTTGGTGGTTAGGGCTGCGTGGCTTGCAATCATTGGGACTTGGATGGAATTGGGCAGCGGTCCTGTTAACAGATGTGTTTTTGGAGCGGCCTGTCAATGTTAAGGGTCAACCCCGCCGCAATCTGTGCGATATGATACGGTAACCGTTCGATACCGCTCTCGGCCGTCACAATGTTGAAACGACCATATTTATATGCTGCTTCCACTCGCGTAACCGTTCCAGACCCCGTTCCAGACCCGTTCCAGACGTGTTCCAGACGCAGCGGAGCAATTTGCCACCAAGTCCACACGCGCACACACATGCCCCATGTAAGTAGCTGCGCTTCTTACGCGGCCCGCCGTGCGGCCCAAGAAGCCTTCAAGGAGGTGCCGTATCGTAAGGCCGCGCGCCCCTGGTCGCTTCATCCATCCATCTACCATTTATCCATCCATCTATGCTTGAGGACTCCCCCACATGTCTTCCCAGAGGTCCGGAACAACCAACCTTGCGTAACTGACTCGTTCCAGACGTCCGCGTCACCGCGGAACGTTCCACACCAGAATATTGACCCACCCATATTATGGAGGGCCCACGCCCTAGGTTTTGTTAAATCCAGGGGGCTGCGGGGGGATTTGGCCAGGAGCAACGCATGAAGCGGATTCATGCCTGCATCCGAATTCAGCCGGGATGCCCAAGCAGAGTGCTTTTGTCGGGCTTGTGGAGCAATTTATTCTTTCGAATTGTTTTGGGTGGGTTTCCCTCAATTAGTTAGGGCCGTAGCATCCTAGAAGCCACAGAATCAATTTAGGGCCACCCAAGCCAGAAGGTCCGGACAATTGCATCCCGGCCTCAATCCACTCGGGAAGACGGGGCCAGAAAAGCACAAACCACGGCGCTCCTTAAGCGGGGGTGAGGAGCGGGGCATCGCCAGACAGAGGCTCGCCATTTAGCCCCAGAAGATTCCGACAGTTTCCCGTCGAGCGGCGACATGTTACATACGTATACATGTTCTGTGTATGTATGCGTATTTGAGTGTGCATGTGTGTGTGTGTGTGCGCGCGCGCGCATGTGCGTGCATGTGTGTGTGTGTGTGCGCATGGGTGTGGGTGCGTGCGTGTGTGTGTGCGCGCGTGCGCGCGCGCGGGCGTGCGGGCGTTTGTGAGTGTGTTTGTTTGTGTTGGGTTGCGCTTTGGTGTGACCTTGTCCAACTTGTCCGTTGACAGGTATTGAACAAATGAGTATGCCTCGCCAATCGATCAGTATCTTCTGAGTCATGACCGCTACAGAGGGCCCCTTTTAACCTGTTTCCCCGGATTTCCGCTCCCAAGTAAAAGAATGGTTGACCCAACGCAGATGATGAACCTCCTAGGTAGCCAATAATTTTCTACATATTACCCCCCTATGATTTCATCGATAACACTCCCCGGGTTTTGGCCCGACAAAAACCAAAGTGAGGTCTCCTGGTTCCCGGCTCCGAACAGAATCCGCAACCGGGCCCAGCTGTCGGGTGTTTTGTGTCAATGTGCTGTTATTTTCCTATAAGGGAGCACATTGATATTTGAGGCTCTGGTATTCCCAGTTGCCCAGTGGGTTGCTTCCTTTTTTCTTCTTTCTTTGAGAAGGGTCCTCCTTAAAGTCAACCACCGAAAAAAATGCCCCTTCTTTTCCAATGGCCACTGGGCATCTGAGTATTTCACTTTTGGGTTGACTGAACATTCGGACAACAAACTAAAAATATTCGGCGCTGATCAATTCCAAGCAGCCCCACCTGCAACTATCTTGTACTGCCAGTTGCTTGTTGTGACACTCCATAGGCGTAGTGCCCGAAAGTCTATGGCGAATGTCCCTTCGAACGACTGCTGGGTCGTTCTGGGTGCTGTTTCAAAGGCCTCATATTTCCCTTTCGGAGTGTCACCCCGAAACGAGCCAAAAGCCGAATCAAAGCGGGCGAGGTGCTTCGGCCGGCGGATCGCTGCCCAAAGGGCTTGCCGGAGACCTCAGTAGAAGTGGGGCTGTGGGCTCCCACGTCTAAGCGAGTCGACCTTTTCGCTTTTCTTTTTTTCTCATTTTGGTCCAGTGCAGTCATGGCCCCAAAAGGTGATCACCTTTGATTTCTGGGTCCCCAAGAAAGTATGTCTTTTTTGAGGGTGCCCTTTGGTTTTCTTGTTTTTTCCGAGAAACCAAGAGGCCCATGGTTCTGAATGAATCCTTGCTGGACGAGACATCAGAAATCGGGGATGAATTTGTCGTCCCCCATCAGTTTCCATGAGAAGAATCAAGCAGGGGATTTGTATTGACACCTACTCCCAATACCCTGCAGTTTTTGTTTTCCTGTTTTGCGCAGGGCTTCTCGTTTTAGTGCCCCAAGGGTCCAAGACCAACCTGTCCGAGTCTTCCTTTTTATGGCGAGCTCAGCGATTCGTGACTCGGCAAAACGAGCGAAAGTCGTCATGCAGGCCCATTACTTGGGTGGTCATTTTTTTTTCCGGAGTTGGACTCAAGGGGTGCTTGAGGTTGGCATGGATGGGCATTAACCATTTTGGGATTTTCAAGAACCACGACAAGGATTCCTCTTTAAGGAGCCGTGATATGCCATCTATTTCTCTGCGATACCCTGGAGAACCCATTCCCCATCCACATGACGAGGCGACAGGGGTGGCACACTTCGGTACCACAGAAAGGGTTTGTTTTGGCTACAGTCATCTATTTGCTGGTGCTGTGTGCGTTTTTCTTTTAATTCCGTTTTCTTTTGAATACTTGTTGCTTTCCCTTGTTGGTTTTAAAGGGATTCTATCACTACTGGATGTATTTGTGTTTTTTTTTTCAGGGGGCTAAAGCAGACGGAAGGAATGACCCCACACTTTAAACCCACCCAAACCAAGACCTGCCGCCGCCTTCCCGTGCTTGTTCCCCCGCTTCGCTTGGACGCGCAGACGCGGAGAAGCTGGGCGCCAAAGCCAACTTCGTGAAGTTGAAAAGAGCCACGTCCCGAGCGCTCGGGTCATTCAGGGGCCAGGTCTATTCAGGTAGCTTCTTGGTTTGGATTTGGATTTGAACCCTCCTTGTGGATGAATGGGAAACTTATACCACACCACCAAACCACCGGGATCCAAACCACTAACCAAGATGAAGATGACCTAGTAGGTCCTTGCAGTGGCGCCGCCCTTTGTTTGTTCTTTCTTCCGAAGTTCAACTGGTGCCCTTTTTGGGTCACTGGAATGTGGGTGTCCCTTGCCAGCTGCTTGTCAGGGTCCCTTCAAGGAGACATTTGGGAACGGTGGACAGTAGGACAACAGTTTCCAGAAAGGGGATAAACGGGCTTTCTAGGGCCTTCGCCGCAAGCCTTTGCTGAGCCTTGACCTTTGTTGAGTGGAGGCCGGTTTGCCCGGTTTGCTCAAATAAATTTGAAGGCTTCAAACCCTGGTTGAAGTTGAGCCAGGAGGGCTCGGGAGGGACATGCAAGACCCTACACTGCAGAAGGCACTCAGAACCTTTCGGTCAAACCGCCGTCTAAGAAGTGTCTAAGACACTTTCATGGGGCGGGCTTAGGTTTTCCCTCTATGGACTCGGGGAAAATCGGACTTGGCAGCTCAAAGTGAACGCTTCTAAATCTGGTAAAACATATTGTTGGGAGACTTCCCTGAACCGTCTAGTCAGGCGTTTTCTGACGGACCCAGCTGGAGCACTAATTTTTGGGCCCTGGAAAGCGGCCTGTGCTTCCGTAAAGGGGCATACTTAGTAAGTGGGTAATAGCCATGGTTATAACTGACAAAATCCATGGTGATAAGTCGCCGTTCAGTGCGTTATAACCAGTACTAAACCACTTACCTGACGTACCGAATCGAGCGCTTAGGAAACTTGAGCCGGGCACGGGGCTTTTGGCTCCGGAAATGCTCCGATCCCGCAGGTCACAGTCCAGATCCAGCGCGGGCCGCGGAGTGAGGATCGATCCTGCCAAGTGAGCCACAAGCAAAACCCGGGGACTGATGAAGGTTAGTAAGGCCTTTAAGGGCCAGTCCCGGCCGGAAATGGTGGCGGATATCCGCCTTTCGAATTCTTGAAGCATGGTTCTGGGTGCACCATTTTTGTACCAGGGTTTCGAGTGTGACTCAAGTAAGTGGGTGTCGCGTGCAGCTTTTGTTTGGGTCTAAGGGGAAGCCGAAAGGACTCCACCCTGAGGGGTTGCCCCCTTAGACACACCCAACGTGGGTGATGTGGTTTCCCTTGTATAGTGGTTTTCCAGGTAGGAAAGAGGAGCCCGGTTTGCCATTGATTTTAAACCTCCAGAGCTTGGCGAAATCGTTTCTTTTGGCGGGCTCCCCCAATAAATCAACAGGATCATGTCCTTGTCCTGGCCACAGGTCTGGGTTGATATTGCCTTCCCCCCAATTGTTCACCCCCTAAGTCTACGGTCTAGGCCCCCTTCTATTTTGTTTGGTGGCTTCTCACTCGAGTGCAAGAAGGGAACTATGTTTCTATCTGTTGGGTCACGGTTTCGCTTTGAGCCTTGGCATTGAAGGCCGTTTTCGGAGCCACGCGGCTTTACCAGTTGTACAACCGTGAGCCATCAACCTCAATGCGGGCCTATTTGCTTCGATCTCCAAACCCTTTGCGGGGTCAACCAAATGAGGACGAGAGTCAAACACGATCATTTTCTGGCCTCTCTCAGGTCCTTTTGGGAAGCCCGAAACTCTTGTCTTGGTAGGTGCTTGTGAGGCAAGCCCTGTGCTTAAGAGTGCGGAAACAGGAGGTTTTGTGTCAAATGGCGAGCAAGTTTGGAGCGCCAGCATTTTCGACTTTGAGTCACCTGACCGCGGATGAACACATCCTGTTTAGAAAGGCCAAAGGGCCGGGCAAACCGGAGGATTTTGGTCAGCCTTCGGCTGTGAACCCTCCAAGACGGACCAGGATTTGTGGTATGGAGCCGCCACATTGCCGCTCCGGTGTCCGAAGGTGTTAGACAGGTTCTGATGAACGACCATGCCCACACCTGCCTGCTGAGCAAAACACATGGGGTGACTTCACCCTTGACTTTTTTCCCGGGAAGTCTGGACAACGGAACCAAGCTCCCATGGTCACATGCGTTGGTTAACGAACGGGAGGAATGGTTCCGACGAGGGGCACAACAGCTCTGGAAGAATGCGTAGTCTTGGTCCGTTCGAAAACTTTGAGTTCATTCCGGAAATCGGGTTGGGCTCATTGGACTGAGCAGGTGACTTGCGGACTGAGACCAGATCAGTTTGCCCGAAAGTGGTTTAGAGCAAGGCTCGCCTTCCCTTCTTGGTTGCTATTTGGTGGGATCTTTAGACTTTAACATTTTGGGAAGTCGACTGTTTTCCATTGAGCCCACAAGTCAAAAGCTTTTTCCTGATTCTAAAGATGCCGTTGGAAGCGGCCGATTTCAAAGTGACACCATGCACTCGAGACAGGCTCTTTGGGTGATCAAGGGTGATCATTCAAACACACAAAAAACAACTACTAGGTATATATATATACCAGCTTATCCTGAGTCTTGTGCGTCTTTGGCCAGAACTTGCGGTAGACATGTCCCCAGGTTTTTTTGGGCGCACCTGCCAACCCCCCAGTTGGACCCCACCTGAGGTGCCAGGTGCGTAGGTGGCTGGCCTGGCGCAGGGCGAGCGCCTCGGGGGCTTGCGTGGCCGCCGCCGGGGGTTGGCCCTGGCAGTTCCGAGCCATTCCCCTTGGCCTTCTTGGTTGGTTGGTTGGTTGGTTGGTGGGTTGGTTGGTTGGTTGGTTGGTTGGTTGGTGGGTTGGTTGGTTGGTTGGTTGGTTGGTTGGTTGGTGGGTTGGTGGGTTGGTGGGTTGGTTGGTTGGTTGGTTGGTTGGTTGGTTGGTTGGTTGGTTGGTTGGTTGGTTGGTTGGTGGGTTGGTGGGTTGGTGGGTTGGTGGGTTGGTGGGTTGGTGGGTTGGTGGGTTGGTGGGTTGGTGGGTTGGTGGGTTGGTTGGTTGGTTGGTTGGTTGGTTGGTTGGTTGGTTGGTTGGTTGGTTGGTTGGTTGGTTGGTTGGTGGGTGGGTGGGTGGGTGGGTGGGTTGGTGGGTTGGTGGGTTGGTGGGTTGGTTGGTTGGTTGGTTGGTTGGTTGGTGGGTTGGTGGGTTGGTGGGTTGGTGGGTTGGTGGGTTGGTGGGTTGGTGGGTTGGTGGGTTGGTGGGTTGGTGGGTTGGTGAGTTGGTTGGTTGGTTTGATCGGAGGTTCCGTGCCATTTCCCTTTAAGGGGAACCTGCGAAAGTTGCGATCGTTTCAAAAGAAAGCAACAGTCAAATGATAAAGTTTTCAGGAAAGTTCCCAGTGAACTAACACTGGGGTCGTTATTTTGAGTCTGTTTCTGGGGGTTATCAGGGTCAGATATTGGTTGGTGGTTTCCCTTTTACCTATCTGGGGATCATGGGAAACTAGTAGTGCCACTTGGTTTCCCCCTGGTTCGGAGCAGGTGCAGGCTGGAAGTTTGATGTTAAGGCTGCCGCCTGGGCTTGTTTTTGTTGGTTCTCACGGCACTGGGCAACTTGGACATGGTGAGAATCCCTATATTCAAGAGTTTCGGGGTATTTAGTATCTAGGGTTCCCCGTGCGAACGGTGTCCTTTGGTTTCCGGTTGCCAGGGGCCGAACTTGGTGCCGTCTTTGAAGCAACCCCGCTACATCTTGCCTGGCCGCGGGCTTTTCCATCTGCGTAGATGGCAATTTCGACGTTGCTTCACACGTGCCAGGGGCGGGGATACTTATTGAATAGGGCTTGTTTGAAAAGCAGGCGGGTGAAAAGGCCAAGGCAGTGTTGGGACTTGACTTCTGGCAAATGGTGGCAGGTTTATGTACTGGAGTGCAATGGAGCCTTGAGAACCGTTTGTTTCCAGTCGTTTTCCCGTTAAACCGACCCTTTTGGGTTTGACAAGCACCAAGCCTGGACGATGTTTGGCTAGCCCTTTACATGTTAAGGCTCACATGTCAACCATCTCAACATGGTATTAGCTGCTGGGGGCAACAGCTGAGGTGGAAACTCTGAGGCGTATGAACGTCTGGCCTTCGCTGGGTGGCTGGAACAAACCAACTCACTCCTGAAGTTGGACTTTAGACTTCTTGGGGCCGTTTTGGTGGCTTGGGGCTGCCGTGAGGCTAAAGGAGCTCGCTCGCCATACGCGACCCGCAAACGCAACACACAGCCTTCATTCCCCAAGAGGGTTCCAAAAATAAGAACCCATGTTTGGTGTTTGGCACTTCTTTGGCGTGAATCGGGGGAGTGACCTGTTCCTTCCATGTCTTTTGGAAAGATAAGTGCTTAACGGGTCAAACTGGGGTCAAGCAGGCCACAGAGCCCGATACCTCGGGAAACCGAGATGGGTTAATGTTTGCTTCAGTCAAGACTTGATTCCGTTCTGTTTGCAAGGTACTGATTACTTTGCATTAGGGTGTGGTACGAAATGCGGGATTCGGGTGTGGTACGAAATGCGGGATTTTGGTCATTCCGCAGACAAGGATCCCTGTTCAGATTTGTCAGACCATGTTCTTGTTGAACGCTCGGGCTGCATTTGTGCCTGGGCAACTCGATAAAACAGTTTCATGCGTAACCACTGCCAAGAGAAAGGAGTTGGAGCTAGAAATGGTCAACCTCAAAAAGATCAGCCCTTTTCCAAGGGACCTTCTGTGCTTCCTTGTGGGCGTGGTCTTTCTTCGAGGATACCGTTTTGAGTGGTTTCAAAGCTGCTGTTCAAAGGTAATCCTTCATCCGTACAGGACCGGTCCCCTTTGCAGTGGCTTCCCTTTTCGGATGGACAGTCGGATTGGCCAAGCCTTCATTTGAGCCCAGCAAAACCACGAGGCAAGCCGCTTTCCCCCGTTTCGAATCCGTGGCTGTCGGAAACCGGAGAGGTCCGCGACATCCGAAAGGTGTGTGGTGCTCAGTGCAAAACAGAGGGAGCCTTGCAAAGCTCCTGGGTCCCAACCACTGCTTTTTTGGACACTTGGGATTTTGGACATGGGAAAAATCAGACGGGGGGAGCCTGGAAGTGTTTTTTTTTGTTTTTTCCGGAATCCAATTTGCATGGCCTTTACCAGGCTATGTCAACTGAGCCGCAATAGCCTGGTCAAATGCAGGTAAGGGGAATCCGGTTCCTTGCCTGAAATAGGTGCGGAAATCAAGTGTTCGCTCTTCACCTTTGCCCAGACTTTCGACTGTTGCACCACGATTTGAGTCCGAGGGCTATTCGGCCAAACCTCCAGCCAACCTGTTATCCAAATGGGGGGAACGCAAGTGGTTAGCATTTCGGTTGCACAACCTTTTTGTCGAAATCGTGACAGCGACCCGTGTGGGTTAGCATTGCCTCCGGATTAAGAAACAAAGGGTCTTTCCGGGGCAATTGTGTGGAGTTTTGGTTGCAGGGCTGGCGCAGACCTCTCAGCAAATCCGGTTTCTCGGGCGGTGTTTTGTTGCAGGAATCTGCCTGAAAGCCAACCCCCCCCTCCCCAACCGTCAACCTTCTGGATTGGGTTGTGTGCCCACGTGAAGGATCGCTCAATCACTGAACACCTCCCCCCGGGTCGATTCCTTCTACCAGTTGTGCAAGGAACCGCTGCAGGTGGATACCTGGGAACCGATCTAGCGGCCAAGACTACTTGGGGACGAGGCTTCCTTGCAAAACCTTTCTCTCGCAGAAAACAACGAGCGACCCATGATCCAAAGGGTTCCAGTGGTACACACCAGCGCGCGCTACCTTGCGGCCTCCCAAAAAAGAAACTCCTCCTTTGTTCCAAACAAATGACCAGCGGCGGCTTGAGGAAATACACGCCCCCGGTGCGCATCTTGCAGAAATTTGCCAAGGCGAGCAAGGACGTTCGACCTTTCACAGGCTTTCTTTCCATAGCTCATTCACAGGTTCTCCTACATTTCCTACATTCTCCTGGTTTGCCACAAGGTAGATTTGTCGCGTAGCTTGTCCCATTTGTCAGTTTAAAACATCTTTGGGGCCACCCATCAGAGAGCTTCCTTGTTGCTTCCTTGTTGCCTTCCTTGTTCGAAATGCTGATGTTAGGGGCGAACTCATTGACGTGGTACGTGCTTCGTCACCTTAGGCCAACTGGATTGTTTGAAGTTTGCTTTTCGAGGGGCCTCAAAGTTTCCGGGGACCGCCAACATCCAACATGGCAACGGTTTCCTTGTGGTTCCCCTTAACTAGCCAAACTGGGGCCTCCCCAAAAAAATCCGACCCAAATGAAGATCTTCACCCTCGTGCAAGATTCAGGGGTTGCAGTTCGGGCCTCCATGATTTCCTTTTCCGTAAGGGAGCTCCATGCAATTTCACCTAGGATTTCGATAAGGTCACCCTGATTGCTCAAAGGGCGGTGTAGGATACCTGTTCAATCTGCAGACCACGTGTCTTTGCAAGCTTTATACTTCCAGGTTTTTGAACCCATTGCAAGTGGAAAGGTACGTGGGCCAAATAGTTGCAAATGATCGGCTCTTGTATTCTCAGGCTGTTGGGCAAGGAAGAAAAGCGAGGTTCTGCACAAACCGGAGGCCAAGCTTGGGATTGGCCAGAAAAAGGACCAGCTGAGTTCAAGGCACCACAATTTCCTTTCAGGGCATTGGGTGTAGGCATGTTCAACGCATTATAGTTTCTCAACTTACGATTTGAGTGGGGCTGGGGCTGGGATGTCAAGATTTACCCAACCTTGAGCACCTTCGCTAAATCCACCCCGGGATTTTTCGATGACCTGCAGCCTATTTTTCTCTGGCCTCATGTAAAAAAAGGTGCAGATTCGGATCGCCAGGGCTACCTGGGCCAGCTGCATCTCATGCAGCAGCTGCGGCAAGCTGAGCCGGTGCCACCGAAAGGGCGGGGCCGGTGCCGCGTCCTTTTCTTGGTGCGAGGCGAGAGATGCAGGGAGTGAGAAATGGCTGTGGGTTAAGATTAAACCATTCCAGGAAATGGACCACAGGTTTTAGTCATTGTTTCTATTTACCAGGGTGCCATTTTGGGTACCTATTTTTGACCCACAGAAAAATGGAAGGACCCCCCAAAATTTAAAGCATCCCAACTGGTGTCCTTTCAGGGGACCACATCCTAGGGGCATTCCCACATTCCCGCCTGAGCGCCAGCAAGTTTTGGGAAGCCTGGGAAGCCCGAGAACCTCAGCGGGGTGGTTTCCCAATACCCTGCAGCAACCAGGGGTTCAAGTCCCAAACCATCAATCGCAACCACCAACCAATGGCACACACACACAGACACAGCCACGCAGAAAAAGAGACATACATACGTACAGCACATGGCTGCACAGGCACACATTACACGCATTGCGCGCAGCCAAATGCACAGGCCAACGAACACAAGCACATTTACACAAACTCAGCTTCCTTCTAATTGGTGTAGTTGATGGGTTGCTTGGAGGTTGAGGGATGGTTTCCCCTTTGCCCTCAGGGAATGTTCGCACCGGTCGGTGCGGTCCCATCTCAGAGGGTCAACACCTTCCAAAGATGCCAGGACGAGAATTCTAGAGAACCTCAATCTTTTCAACATGGAATCAATCCCTGGACTCCTTTTCCAGCGCCTGGGTCGAATTGCAGGTTTAGATTGAGTTGAATCCCTTTCCAGAATTTGGAGGGTTGACCAAACAGGATCCAAGCCCATTCCCACTGCTTTCCCAGCACGTTGGCGGGTCCAAAGTCTGAACAAGGCTTCAAGTCGCTTTGTTTCCAGCTTTAGGGCCAATGCTTGGGGTTCAAGTAGTTCGGAATCCTTACTCACCACTTGGAGGATTGAAAGCGCGGATTCCTCCAGGCCCTCTGAAAGAAAAGCTTCAACCGGGCTTGGTCTCGGCCTTGAATCCTTTCTCTGCCCTTGGGTGACTCAATCCCTGCACCAAACTGAATTCAATCCCCTACCGCCCAATGTGGCAATCACTTGTGATGTTCAAAAGTGAAGCCTTTTCAACAGGACTGTAGTCTTTCAAAGCACTTTCAATATGTGTTGTGCAAAGATGGTTAGTTTTTCCAGGTCAGAGGTACCAAGAGCGTGTGGCGGAGGTACAGATTGTCTTTCACCTGAACTCCTCGAACAAGGCAACTGAGAGAGTGAAGCGACTGAGACTAGAGCATCGGGCTTGGGCAAAATGGGCAAAGTCAGTAACAACCAGACCAACCCCTAGGGAAGCAAAAGGCAGGATGTTTAAACAAGAGGTGTTTAAGCATGCTGAATCAGTATTGGCCCATCCCTAGAGATGAGATCCAAATCTCTGCTCGAAATTCAGCCCTTGAGTCACTCCACCGAGCGAGGGAATATCAGCTGAGCTGCGTCCCAAAACTGATGCTTACACTGGCATGCAGAAGAACTTGACATTTGAGAAGGCCGTGCGCAGGGGGTTAGCTTTTCGGCGTTCAGATGGTTTGAAGTGGGGGTGCGCTGGCGAGGGGGGTCAAGTCTGCCAGCTACCACCCGGGTGCCTCGTGGGCAAACTTGATAGAAGCCCTTTGTTGGCGATCCTCTTTCTCATGTTCGCCAAGGTGCAAACAACAAAATCATTTTTTGGACGGTCAACTAAGCAGGCCAGATAGGGACAACTGAGGCTGTTCAGTGGATAAACTTCTTGATTTCGGTTGGTGGCTTGACGGTGGTGGTGCTTCGTTTTGTTTATTCTTGGCTGGTTCTCCAGAGAATATTCAGCTTGCTTGCGAAGGGTGATTGTAGGGATTTCCAGGACACCACCCCTGCTTAAATGATCCTGGGAGAAAGCACAGCTCCCAGATGTGTGCGGGCTTGATGTTTTGTCTCATGAATCTACGAGCCTCAAACTGAGGCCTGGCGTTCGGTTCGTGTTTTCAAAGGCCAAAGGCCGGGGGGGTTCTCACCTCAAGACCTGTTTGCGCGGGGCGGTAACCGAACCAAGCGCCAGGGCAAGAAGATCGTGCCCTTCACCTGGAAGCTGGCAATGCTTCCGGTGGGCGAGGCCTCGCCCCCCGCGCGTGGATGCACGTGCACCCCCCTCACTCTCAGACACCCAGTGGGTTGCTTCCACTTTTTTCCGTTTAGGGGCGTGTCGTTCAACAAGGAGTGCCCTCTCTTTCCCATTGGCTTTTTGTGCTATAATTTGTTTGGGGTTTTTATTCAGGCAGACCTTGTGTTGAAGCCCAACATGAAGGGCTCGGTGCTTGATCATGTTGAGAAGCTTGCAGCCATGGCAAGTAGATCCCAAGCCGTGCCAGGTTGTTCTCCCCTTTGGGTTGCTCGGCTGCTTGGTTTTCATGTAGTCAATCACAGCGTTCTGAAGGGGACCCCGCAAACACCGAGCCTCACCAAACACACCTTGTTGAGAAAAACTGGAAATGGAGAAGGGTTTTTGGATGTGGGCAGGTGTGCTTGGGGGGGGGGGGGCGGAAAGATTTATGTAGCATCAGCCAATCACAAGAAAAGGCAGACCTCCCTCCCGTGGTTGCTTCCTTTTTTTCTTGTCTTGCTGGTCTCGCTAGCGAATGACGCAGGGAGTTGGGAATGCACATATAGGGATTCGCTTAAAGGAAACCAGAGGTGATGGTTCAGAGGGGTCATTCCCTCTTTCCCTGCTGAGAATCAGCAAATTGTTTTGGGAGTGGTTTCTCACCCATACTCTAAGCAGAACATACCAGAGGTCGGATGAACAGGTCGTGGGCTTGGCAAAGCAGAGTCCCTCTAAAAAGCTCGAGTTCCCCATATCTTTGCTGGAAATACCAGCTGACAAGAAACTTGTTCATCTTTGCAAACAGCCTGGTGGTGAAGCCTGGCAAAAGGGCAAACTTTCTGCGCATCCAAGGTTCAAATTCGTAATTTCGGAGCAAGGACCCGCAACAGCAGGAAGCACACATGGCTGAGTTCCGGGTCAAGTGCTTCCACATGTTGATTGCTACCTTTGGACCTCCGGTTTGGGGGGGAAACTGTTGGTTTTACTTTCACGGGCTCCCAACCCCACCCCAATGGCCAAATCCCCCTTGCCCTGCTTTCCTTCAACTTTATGGGGGGGGGAGTTGGATCCTTTGACACAAGAGTCCTGAAAAGTCATGGCCTGCTTGGGAGCCTGCCATCGGGCCGATAGCCATGCGAATCAGGAGGGGGAGATCGTGACTGCCGAGGCAAGGGAGGGAGCTGCCGGTCGAGGGCGGATGCAGATCTTTCAAAGTGGTGGCGCTTGAATTGGAAAGCCCCAGAACTTGTTTTGAGGATTCTTCAAGATGATCACAGGAACATGTTGGGAGTGCCGCTTTATGGATTCCAGAATTCAACGCGGACAAGTGGCGATGGGCAATTGGAGAAACACAACCCCCACCCCCCACCATGTTCATGTTGAGATGAAGCATACATGTTTAGCTGGATACCTCCACAATCACACGCATACATGCCAGGCATGTGTGTACATATTTATGCATGTACATATAGACAATTGTATGTGTATTACGTATATGTTGTACGTATATGTATAATATACCTGGAGCACCCTTCGTTACCTAAATTTCTGCCCTTAGCCCAAGTGTATTGCAAAACCAGAGGTCGTGGCGAAAATACGGTAAATGTACACTTTTTGCAGCTTCGAGCGTTTTCCCAAAGCCGGCTGGTCGGTCCTCCAAGATGATCGGTCGCTGAATATTCGAAAGGAGCGAGCAGAATTCGAAGTGCAAAACGAGCGCAAATATCCGCAAAACGAGCGCAAATATCCGCAAACGAGTGCAAATTCCAAAAACGTAACAATGCCCGCCGTCCACTGGATGGAAGAAGGGATTTGGTCGAGCGTTTTTTGGGGTGCGAGCGTTTTTTTGCGGGGTCGAGCAGAAATGGGTAATTCGAGCGTGTTTTTCTCGTACCAAAAAAAAAAGGGCACGTTGGGTGCCTCAGGTATATGTATATACCTGAACCCTCCAAAAGTACTGAAATTTCCGTACATGCAGAAAAAAAGTGTCAATGTACACTTTTGAGGAAATTTGACGGAAATCGCTTTTAGCAGGCTGTGAGCGTTTGTGGTGCACTTGGATGCACATGAACACAGTTTGCAATTTACACGGCCCGTCATACTTAATTCCGTTTCAGGTCTTTCGTCTCCAATTGCTGTGGGGCAATGTGTGACAGCTTCCTTGCCGCTTTTGCGAGTTTGCAGTTTTCTCAGCCAAAATGCAGAAACCGCAAATGCACGGAAATCGGCGGGAAATGCACGGAAATCGGCGGGAAAAGTACGGAAATCTGCGGAAAATGCACGGAAATGAGCGGAACATTTTCTTGAGGAAATGGACACCTTTTGTCCTTGGTGAATTGCACACCTTCAAATGGTATGAGCATGACAATCTCCAGCAGTGCCATGGCCGGAGCTGAAAGTGAGATTCTTGTAGAAAAAAGGTAGCAAAATGCTCCTGTGTCTTATGTTGAGCCTGCAAGAAAAGTACAGTTTTTGCTCAAATGTACGGATTTTTGCAGAGAGTCGCAAAAAAAGTGCCCTTGGTTGGTCCAGGTATACATACACCTGTATTTATAGTTATATTTCTGTGTAAGATAGAGGCTGGGCCGCCCCCCCCCTCCTGCCGGAATTCCCTTTCCTGAGGCCTGGCAGGCCCGGCTAGAGCTGGAAAAGCCGAAGCCGAAGCGCAGCCGCCGGAACCAGACCCCGGAGGCTCCCCTGCCGCCGCCGCCTGGAAGCCCATGGAAAAGCGGAGATGGGCGGCAAGAGAAATCGGGTTCACGGCTCCAGTCTTGAATGTGACGAATCCGGATCTGAGATCTGAGTAGAACCTCGCGCTATGGGGGTTTTCAGGGTGAATTGTGGGGGTTCAGACCTCTTTTGGAGGGGAGCGGCCCCCATCAATATGATGCGTTTAGTTTTTATTCATCCGGGGTGAACAGTAGACCTTTCATTCATACAGGGCCCAGCTTTCTAGCGTGGGGGGGGTCCCCCTGGAAGAGAGGAACACAACCACGAGGGTTTTATACAAACCCGTGAGGAATAGCTGGGCGGGTTGAATCAAGAGTTCAGTTTGCTTTTTAGGAAGATCCTGCCAGAAAAGGCGGGCATGTCAGGCTATGGGTTGCCACCCAGACTATCAAAGACTGACCTGTGCTTTGTTCGGCCGGCTCTGCCCTCTTTCCAAGAATCATGGAGGTGAACAGGAGGGTTCTGGAAGGCTGCCATTCTCTTGAAAAGGTTCCTGGTCCACCATGATGTCTTGAAAAAGGGGTACTTGAAGTTCTAGCCCGAACCGTTCGTATGGGGGTCCTTTGGGGTGGCAAGGTCATCCGAAAATCCTGCAGGCAGGCAGCGAGCGCATGCTCTCCGAACGAAAGTTTAAGCTTAAGCTGACTTTTATTACAGGGCCTTGCACTTAGTGTGGCGGCATGCTTTTTGAAGTAAGGAGGCCGTTGAATTGCTCAGCAATCATCGGCAAGTTGCTAAACTACTTGGCAGAAACGTTGCCACTCATGAACATGATAGACTTCCTTTACGTTTGGCAGGCCAACGAAAGTGTCAGCTTTCTTTCCAGCCCAGCACTTCGGATATTTGGCCCAGAAAGTGATTACTGACCCGTCTGGCAAGCAAGTTACACACATGATGCCGATAAGTGTATCGTGCCTAGGCTATCCACTTATTCACCGTCGCACAGCCACTATTGGGCTCTTTACCGAAGGCGCCGTATGCCAATTGATTGATTGTCAACCAGTGTTCAAAGATGTTCACGCCAATGCAGGAGAATCCACCCTTTGCAAGGGGTACTGTTGCTATGCAACATCTGGTGTAGATAGCCAGGGAACCAGACCTAAGACAAACAACCTCGTCTCCCCTAGGTGCCAGAAATTCCCAAAAACCTTGAGAGAAAATAGGTCTTTTAGGAGCCTCATGGTCGGAAGGTGCACCCAACATGCTGATTTCAGAGAGTACTCTCCACTTACGGGCAGTTTTCGGGCATTCGAATGTCCACAGACCTGCCAATCGGAACCTTGCGCACCTTTCCAATCGGTTAGCTTTGTTTTGCACCGAGTTTCGGACAGAAGCAAAGTGCCGGTCCTGAGTAAAAATGCCAAAGCAATCCAAAGACCAAAGAAATCGTCAAGGGGTCCCTTGCAAGCCCAAATGGTCTTCCAGGACCCCCCGAAACGTCAGGTTCCGTGTTAATTGGTGGGAGAGTAGTTCCAAGCTACCCTTCCCACTGAGCGAATTCTACAAGGGTTACTCACCCGCGGCAGCTTGTCTCGAGGCCCAAGTCCACCGATCTTTTCTCCAAGGCGTCGGTCGTGTTTTGAGTCGGTCGTGTTTTGATCGCGTGACGATCGCTGCAAACGTTTGTTTCTTTCGCCAGTTTTTGCGCTAAGCACGTCTATTTGATCTTGTTGCCTTTTGAATAAGTCAGTTGTCTTACTTTAGGAGAAACCACCATTCCTGGCGAACACCTTGTTTTTCAGAATGACACCTCAAACAGCTGGAGAATCATCAGCTGGGTTTATCGAACTGTTCGCCAAGATGCGCTTGTTGCAATTTCGTTGTGCTCCATTCAACTTGGCTGGTCTTCGGCTCGGCCCGTCCAAACACCGAGTTTGTAGAACTCAAGGGTAATTGCTTTGTTGGTCCTTGGCTAAACCGAGCTGCCCCTTGATTCCAATGTCCAACCACACGGCCAACAACTAAGTGATGACTTGTGGCAGGGAGGCTTAGAATGACTAACCCAAGGAGAGTGCCCAAGCCTTTCTGATTGTCTTTTATTTGTTTTAAATTGGCCCTACAGACTTTTCACGCCTCCGTTTTAGGTTTTCTGTCTTGCAGTTGTTTCTCAAGTGTCGGTTTTGCAACTTGAGACTTTCTAATCTTAAAATTAGACCGGGGCTTCCTTAAAAGGAAAGTATTCTTCCAAAGCCCTCCGATCGTTTGCAGTGCAGCTTTCGAAGGTGGGCCTGAAGTCTTTGTCTCTGGCCGCCGCCATGGTGATCCAAGAGACGCTCCGCGCCTGCATGCGTCAAAGGCCCAGTCTTCACCAGCCGAAGCGACTTCTGGCGCAGGATTTAGCTCCCCTAACCCCTCATTCCGGAGGAATTGGGGGACAACCCAGAGGTTTATTGGGCCCGCTTTTGGGTCCGATATTTCTGGTCTACTTCTAGTTCTTCCAGCAGCTTTCTTCCAAGTTTGGCCGAAAACTGTGGGGTTATAAGATTGGTAAGTCTGTATTTGCCATTGATCCGCTGCCTTGTTTTTTTTGTGGGCGGGGGGGGGGGGGGGTTTTAGCAGGCAAACGCCCATGGACTTTGCTTTGTTTGGAGATTGCCCGGCATGAAGCAGGGTGATTCAAACATCCCCCTTGTGCTGCGTGATGCTTCAGGGCTTCCTAATGGTTTCCCAGAAGCAAAGCGGAATCAACGGGTCCCATCTCCCATCGAATGGCATCACCAAAAGGGTTGACCAAGGTCTAAGGATCCTCCTTTCAAATCAAACCCCGAAAAGGAGTCCGCAGAAATGGTTTATAAGGGTCATTCCCTCATTTCCTGCTGAGCATCAGCAAGAAAAAACAATGATACGATGTTGGTTTAGTCCCTTAAAAACGTAGATCGTTCGGTTTGCGAATTCCCATGTGTCCGCCCGCAGCCTACGTGTCTCGTAGCATTCGGGACCATGGGCTGTACACAGGGCACGGGACCCACGGGCGGGGTCTCCGGGACCTCCACATGCGAAAGCCAGTCGACGTCGAGCGAAGCCAGTCTGAGGAGGCCGGGGACGGCAAAAACCAATGCCCTTTGCTTCCAAAGCCTTGTGACCTCCCCGTTTTGTCCCCGTTTTGTTGAACAACCGTCGAAGCATAGCGTTGGCAGGGTTGCTGACAAGAACAAGTGGACAAACCAGTGCTAGAAAATTGGTATGTCGGGTCTTGGCCTCGGAACCCGACAACCTGAAAATACGGCTTCGCAGTTGGCATGTGGTGCGGTTAGTGTGTGTGTGTGTGTGTGTGTGTGTGTGTGGGTGCGTGCGTGCGTGCGTGCGTGCGTGCGTGCGTGCGTGCGTGCGTGCGTGCGTGCGTGCGTGCGTGCGTGCGTGCGTGCGTGCGTGCGTGCGTGCGTGCGTGCGTGCGTGCGTGCGTGCGTGCGTGCGTGCGTGCGTGCGTGCGTGCGTGCGTGCGTGCGTGCGTGCGTGCGTGCGTGCGTGCGTGCGTGCGTGCGTGCGTGCGTGCGTGCGTGCGTGCGTGCGTGCGTGCGTGCGTGC